AAACATAAATGTGATCACACTCTCTAAGTGTCTTGATCACCAAAACAAAATAGCTCCTACAATTTATACCTTTGCCTTGAGCTTTTTGTTTTTCTCTTTCTTTTTTTCATGTTCAAGCACTTGATCATCACCATGGCATCGCCACCATCATGTCATGATCTTTATTTGCTTCATCACTTAGAATGTGCTACCTATTTTATGATCACTTGATAAACTAGATTAGCACTTAGGGTTTCATCAATTCACCAAAACCAAACTAGAGCTTTCAATAGTGCCCTATGTTGTGAAACGGTGTCTCCGGGCGAGCAGGCACCTGCACACCAACAGACACCTCTCTACTGGTGATCTCATCTACGGACAGTTAGGATTAGCAGTAGATTAGCAGCTAATCCCGTCACCAAGGGGCCTGTCCTTTGGTGAACGATTGTCACTTGGAGACACCCCCTCAAATGTATATAATCCATTTTACAGATCAATGAAAAGCAGTTGTTCCCAAAAACTTGTTCATTACATTCACTGTTTAACACGTTATCAGCACTGCTCTACTGGACAAGCGAATTATTGAGAAAATTCCCTCTTTTCCGTCCGGATTGTACTACACATACATCAAACCCGTACCGCATGTTGCGTACAAGGTAATTTTTCAAAATGTTGACGCATTCAAAATTTGGCATGAACGCCTTGGCCATCCTGGTATAGGGATGATGCGAAAAATTATCAGCAATTCTAAAGGTCATGAGTTAATTACTGCTAAATTCCCAAAATCTTCAGATTTTATGTGCACTTCATGCGCTACAGGGAAATTGATCATACGGCCATCGCCCGTTAAGATCCAAAATGAGCCACTAAAATTTCTTGAACGCATTCAAGGAGATATTTGTGGCCCCATACAACCAATGTCTGGACCGTTCAGGTACTTCATGGTTCTAATAGATGCATCTACTCGATGGTCTCATGTGTATCTTTTGTCCACACGTAACCATGCTTTTGCAAAAATTATTGCTCAAGTTATTAGACTTAGAGCACATCATCCTGAACATCAAATTCAATCAATTCTAATGGACATTGCTGTTGAATTTTCCTCAAAGGCTTTTAACAATTATTGTATGGCTTTGGGAATTCAAGTTCAGCACTCTGTCCCATATGTCCATACACAAAATGGTTTAGCAGAATCTCTTATTAAGAGAATTAAACTCATTGCAAGACCGTTATTACAAAATTGCAATCTACCAACTTCATGTTGGGGTCATGAAGTCGTACATGCTGCTGACTTAATTCAATTGCGACCAACTGCATATCACGTAGTCTCCCCATTGCAATTAGTATGTGGGAATATGCCAAATATTTCCCATCTGCGAAAATTCGGTTGCGTTGTATACGTACCGATCTCACTGCCTAAGCGTACTTCTATGGGCCCACATAGAAAACTTGGTATCTATGTGGGATATCAATCTCCATCAATTATCAAATACCTCGAGCCTCTTACAAAGGACTTATTCACGGCCCGATACGCTGACTGCATATTTAATGAGGACCATTTCCTGACATTAGGGGGGAGATTTCAAGTACCAAAACCAATGCCAGGAAATCATCTGGAATGCCCAAGGCATTCCCCCCCTCAGATCCACGTACTCTAGAGACTGAACAACAAATTCAGAAAATCATAAACTTGCAACATATTGTAAATAACCTACCAGAAGCATTTACTGATTATAAGGGTGTCACTAAATCCTCTTATCATGCTCGCAATGCGCCCGAAAGAGTGGAGCTAAAAATAAAAACCATTCAACTTCCACTTTCAAAGAAGAGGGGGAGAAGTACGGCCGCTCCTAAGGATAATGCTACAAGTAAGCGTCCGAGGATATCGAGGGCTAGATCCTCCAAATCAGTAAATCCATGCCAACCTCAAGTTGGTAGACACCCAATAGTGGATAAAAATCCAACATCAGGACCAAATCCACAACCCGGATCAACGGTGCATCCAAATTCTGATCCTGGGATATCGGAACACCCTGACTCCATAGTTTTGGAAAATGTTGAGTCAAATAATGGGGTGAAAGAAATTTCCATCAATTACATAGATTCTGGAGAATCATACGATCGTAAGACTACTGTTGTCGACATGTACTTCTCCGCAACAATTGCAGAAATCTTTCTCAATGATCCAGATCCCAAGACCATGGCAGAGTGCAAAAAGCGCTCGGACTGGGCTCAATGGAAAGAAGCAATTCAAGTTGAGATAGCTTTGCTCACTAGAAGAGGGGTATTCACATCTGCAATACCTACACCTTCCAAAGTCTTTCCTGTATGCTTTAAATGGGTTTTCGTCCGAAAACGGAATGAGAACAATGAGGTGGTGAGATATAAAGCAAGGCTAGTAGTACACGCAGAGACCCGTCATTGATTACAATGAAACTTATTCTCCAGTAATGAGTGGAATTACTTTCCGATACTTAATATCATTGGTAGTTTAAAATCATCTATCTATGCAGTTGATGGATGTGGTGACAGCATATCTATATGGGTCACTTGATTCGGACATATACATGAAGGTTCCCGATGGAATCCAAATTCCAAATCCAAACGCAAATCGCAACATGTATTGTGTAAAACTACAAAAGTCATTATATGGCTTGAAGCAGTCGGGATGAATGTGGTACAACCGACTGAGGGAATTCCTTCTAAAGAAAGGATACTCTAACAATGATGATTGCCCATGTGTTTTCATTAAGAAATCTCGAACGGGATTTTGTATTATATCCGTGTATGTTGATGATTTAAATATCATTGGCAGCCCAAAGGATATAGATGAAGCACGCAAACATCTAAAGACGGAATTCGAGATGAAGAATTTAGGTAAGACCAAGTATTGCCTAGGCTTACAACTTGAGCACCGTCCTTCAGGGATTTTAGTGCATCAATCAGCCTATATCCAGAAAATATTAGAGAAATTCAATATGGATAAATCATACCCTAATAAAACTCCGATGGTTGTTCGTTCCTTAGAAATAGGGAAAGATCCATTTAGACCACGGGATATTGGGGAAAAGATGTTAGGACCAGAGATCCCATATCTCGGTGTCATTGGCGCACTTATGTATTTTGCAAATTGCACCAGGCCTGATATCGCATTTGCAGTGAACTTACTAGCTAGACATAGTGTGGACCCAACTCGCCGTCATTGGACGGGAGCGAAGTGTATCCTCAGATACCTTAATGGCACAAAGGATCTTGGTTTATTCTTCAAGAAAAATCATGATCCCAGCATGATTGGTTATACTGATGCAGGTTATTTATCTGATTCTCGTAACGAAAAATCACAAACAGGATTTGTATTCCTACATAGAGGTACAGCTATGGCATGGAAGTCTTCTAAACAGACTCTGACAACGACCTCTACTAATCATTCTGAAATTATTGCTCTATACGAGGCATCACGAGAATGTGTATGGCTTCGCAGAATGATTAACCACATACAACAATCATATGATATTGGTTCAATTGAATCACCTACAATTATCTATGAAGATAATTCCGCTTATGTTACACAGATGCAATCAGGTTACATAAAGAGCAATATCACTAAACATATTGTTCCTAAATTATTTTATCCCCATAAATTACAAGAAAATGGGGAAATAAACATCTTGCAAATCAAGTCATGTGATAATCTCGCTGACCTATTTACTAAGTCCTTATCAACTTCTGTGTTTCAAAAATTGGTACATGGAATTGGTATGCGGCGACTTCGAGATTTGCCAGAATCAGGAGGAGACATCTTCTAAATGTTGACATGTACCAGCATCATATTATACTCTTTTCTTTCACAAGTTTTACTTACAAGGTTTCTTGTTAAAGTTTTTAATGAGATAATATTAACATAAGTATGTGTCATATTTCCAATTTTCCCCACCGGGGTTTTTGTGGGAAATATTAAAGACACATATTGTCCTCACAACTCATACATGGTTTTTCCCTGAAAAAGGTTTTTCATGTGAGTTATCCAAGAGGCAATATCAATAATATGTCGTCATATTTTCTCCTAATTTTCCCACTGGGTTTTTACAGGAGTTTTAGCGACGTATCACTTTATATTGCTTTTCATATTTTTCCTAAAATGGTTTTTGTGGAAGTAATCTATATGTCGTATCTCTAATATTTTTCCTCACTGGGGTTTTTAATGGGATACCAATGACATAGTGATTTATTTAAATCACACTCATATATGCTATTTTCTTCTTATTTTTCTATAAGGTTTAAAGGAGTTTTTATAGCATATCTATACATACATATTCCTCATATTTTTCCCACATGATTTTTCGAGAAATCCAAACTTACGACTGCATTGATCTCAAAAAAGTTTCGACAAGGGAGAGTATTGTGAAACGGTGTCTCCGAGCGAGCAAGCACCTGCACACCAACAGTCACCTCTCTACCGGTGATCTCATCTACGGACAATTAGGATTAGTAGTAGATTAGCAGTTAATCCCGTCACCAAGGGGCCTGTCCTTCGGTGAACAGTTGTCTCTTGGAGACACCCCCTCAAATGTATATAATCAATTTTACAGATCAATGAAAAGCAGTTGTTTCCAAAAACTTGTTCATTACATTCACTGTTTAACACCCTGAACCACATCACAACAGCAACAAACTTAGTCTGAACTGAATCCATCTATGTTCTCTGGTGAGTTTCTATTGAGATAAAAATATTCTGTCTGTTACAGGATCCTAACCAAATGTTACAGGAACCCAAAATCACCAACCACATGACCCTGCATCTAACCTCAGTTTCCCACCCTCATCAGCAAAAACAGGTCAAACGACTAGACTGCTCCATTCCGAGCACCGACAGGCCAGGACACCCCAGCTTCCCTTGAGCCCGAAACTTCGGCATGTAACCAGAGGTCAAACTATGTATGTACTACATGGGTCATGCGGCGATGGATGTCCTGGCCGGAAAACCAAAAGTTCTATGTACAACGGTGGTGTGCCGTCCCCTCCTAATCCACGTTCTGGATCTCGCCCATCATTATACGGTTGCTCACCACGTTGAAACCCAACACCGCCGCGCTCACCTTCTTCCCCTTCTTGCCTTTCTTCTTCCCGACGCCATCCAGCTCCGCGTCCGCACTCGTGCCTCCTCGGGCTGCAGCGGCAGCGTTTGCACGCCCTGCGCCGTCACCGCGGGTACCCGGCGTGCTGGGAGCTTGGAAGGCCATGTCGATCACATCTGCTGACAGGAAGGCCTTGTAGTTGACGAACTTGTCGATGAACTGGTGGCTGCGGTCAAGAGAACCAATGTTCTCGTGAAGGAGCATTTCCGCTTCAGTAGTTGATTGCTTTATGCAGAACTCAAGGAAACTTATATCTGAAAGGGGAAGTAAATATCAACATTAACAAAAGTAATACAAAAGATTGAATTATCCTAACTTGAAACAAGAGCTAAAGGCACAGTTCGATACCATTTGTTCCAGTGAGCCTGGCCCATTCACTCTCACACCAATCTCTGAAGTCCATTGCCTCTGCATAATGACAGTTGTTACAACTTTGAACGTGATGGTAGTCTTTAAAGAATGCGACTAAAAAGCTTTAGCTATACCAGTCTGCTTGTTTGCAGCCTCTGCTTTCCCTTTGCCAGATTGGTTGGCAGTAGCAGAAGAAGAAACTGGCAATCTGCCTGCCTGAGACTTTTGACGATTCAGTGGAGATTGATCCTTCATCATGGAACTTCTGCTCTGACTTGACAGAGATGGAAACTCAGACCTGGAAAAATAAAACATAAAAATTCTCAGAAACTATGCAGATCCATATATCCTTCTTTTGCGATCCAAAAACACCAATGAAAATAGAAATAGCTATTAAAAGGATCTTAAGTCTCAAACAGACTAGATAAGGGAACAAAGCTTTAAGTTTAATTTCAAAAGAGATCCTCTCTGCAATTATTTTCAGTCTGTAGTTCAATCATATTTTGCTAATTTAGTTTATTAATAAATTCACTAATCCTTTGTAAGCATAAAATCCAGAACAAAACGTGTAATAACATCTTGAAAGCAACACCAAATAAATTATTTCAATTGTAAGAGCTTCTGCTAATTTAGTTTATATTAATAAATTCAGTAATCCTTTGTAAGCATAGAATCCAGAATAAAACGTGCAATAACATCTTCAAAGCAACACCAAATAAATTAATTCAATTGTAAGAGCTGCTGCAAGACATACTGCTTTTTATCTTGTTTGGAGTGCTCAGAAGGGCCCCAAAACAAATCATCTTCAGCACTTGATTTGGAACGACTGGGAGCATTGGAACTCATTTGGACAGGGGCAACTGCCTGTGATGGAGATGATCCAGAAGCTTGCCAGGAAGAAGTATTCCCCTGACTTTTTTGGTTCGGGGCCACCTTTGCTGGAGTTGGTGAGGGTGCTTGTTGCTGGATAGAAGCAGTTCTCCTTTCTTGTTCTCTCTGGATATCTCTCAAAGACAAAGGTTTCTGCACCTTTGCTGAGTCATTAGACCACGCTGGAGCAGGCACAGAGCTAGTCTGATCACTCTTCCAAAGAACAAAATCTCCAAAGGATGGACCACTTGGTGGAGCTGGCAACATTTCTAACTCCTGTTGTGCTTGCTTGGCAGACTTTCCCTTTTCAGAGGGCATGGAAATAGCTGGTGGATCAAAGGAACCAACAGGTGATGGAGCTTTCACAGTAGAAGCTTTGGCTTTTGCTGCCTTCTTTTTGTTCTTTTTGTCCTTGGCCTCAATGAAGTCATTATCATCAAGAGCAGGAGCATCAGGCTGAGGCTGAACAGCAGCAGGCGACAGAGGAGGGTAAAATGCATCATTGGCATTACCTATGTTCTCATTATCTGCAATGCTTGACCTCGCAAGAACTTCTGCTGCCAGCAAATCATGCAACTGGCTTCTTTTATTCCTCTCACCAGCACTTTCCATGCTTCCCAATGATTTACTTGAACCCCCATAATGTTGCTCGGAAGATATTGCCATGCCATTCCAAGGAATTGAAGGGACTGAAGCTGCTGGCTTAGCAGTGTCAGTAGCTAATCCTTTCTGTGCACGCAATTGTTCCTCAGCTTGGATTTCCAGCAGTGACTTAGGCCTGAGACCCTGAGTAGGTTGTTTCCATGCACGCTGGCTTGCCATGCTATGAGGATCAGATGATAGAGAACTAAACTGCGATTCAGCTTTGTCAGCGTCATATTCCTCTGGAAGACTTTTGGGGGGTAAAATCTCATTTTGCACTCTGATAGGTGAACCCCAAAATAGCTCCTCTCTATCATCTGGTAAATCATGCTTATTACCACCAAGATCAGAACTGTCAACCTCAGTTTCCTGCCTTGGCTGCTGGGCTGAAACCGCCTTTGATGCTCCTTTGCCAGCATCTGCAGCAGCCTGTTTTTTCTTTTGCTTCTTTTTCTTTTCTGCTTTCTTGGTCTCCTGTGTATCAGTAACTTTTACTTCAGTTGCCACAGCTGTCGCAATGCCAGAAGAGGTATTTTCTGCCGACAGATTCAATTCTTGAACCTGACCAGAAATATCAGATAATACATTTTCTGACTTTGGATATAGTGGTGGTTCGTGTAAATCCTTAGCTTCATCTGAAGCACTCCCAATGATCCTAGTAGATCCAGAATCTAAATCCTTTCCAGACATTTTGTTTTTTTCTGTTGCAGTGCCCACTTCGTGCGATTTAAACCCCTCGTTTCTATCTGCAACTTCCACCAGCTTTGAGTTTACCATAGTTGGTTTCAATTGTAAGTCGACATTCGCAAAATCTTCCAACATTCCAGGACGGGAGTGATGCTCTTTTGGAAGTGCACCCACAGCAGTTTCATGGGGCACTGGCAGTGTAGTTACAGAGATTTGCGATAAAGCTACACCATCCATATTTCTAAAATTCATAATTGACAGACTAGGTTGTTGCCCCACCTGCATACCATGGACAGGCAATATTCGATCGACATCGATAGCCTCTTGCATCCTTCTAAGACCAAGACCCATAGAATCATCAGATGGCACAGAAGTATGCTTCAATGTATAAGAATCATCAGTGTGCTGATTGGGATGCACGTGAGGTACCATCTGAGAAAGTAGTTGCTGCTGCAACAATAGCTTTTGTTGCTGCTCCAGCTGCAGCTGCTGTTGCAGTTGTTGCTGCTGCTGCTGCTGCTGTTGCTGCTGAAGTTGCTGCTGCTGTTGCTGCTGAAGTTGCTGCTGCTGCTTGAGCAATAACATCTTGTCCAACATAGAGAGTTGCGGCTGAGGTGTCAAAGGTGTCTGTGACTGTGACTGCAACTGTAGTTGTGACAAAAGATATTGCTGCTGAAGCATATTTAACAGCTGTGGATCTTGAGATATCTCGGCAAGCTTCTCAGGTGGCAAATGAGCCAAAGCTGGTCGGTTTTGTGGCATTAAGTTGTTCTGGGAGTTCTGCAGATCTTGACGCATATTAAGAGCCCCTTGGGCAAGATCACCATGCATGTTAGGATTAACATTTCTTGCTTCAGGGTAATTGGGCCATAGTGGCAGTCCAGAATTACCAGTAGCAACTTGAGGTTTCTCCTTTGGTTGCAGCATGGCTAGTAAATCAACATTCTGAGATTGCAAAGATTGGCGAGATGTATCAGCCATGGGATGTGCTTGTGATGCTGGAGAAGCATCTCCTGTCCAATATGAAACAGGGTTTTGCAAAGAATTTTGTCTCTCCAACAGTCCTTTCTGTGCCAAAAGATAGTTCATATTGACTCCGCTCTCACCTCCACGCACAGAAATGTTGCCAAAGCTACTACTGCCAAGTTCATTCATACCTAGTTCAAAAGAAAATAATGTCAGACAAGGAAATGACAGGTAGCAAAGAAGGTTAAGGAACTAATATGAAATGAAATAAGCACAAATAGAACTCTTCATGACAGTAACGAACCTCCAGTTATAGAGATAGTATCTGCCGAAGCATTCCGCACACTATTGGACATAAGTGACTCCAGGAAACGATTTTGAGCCTCAACAGCATTGTCTTTCCTGCTTGGCCCATTGTCAAATATTCCGATGCCAGCTGATCCTGCTTGCATGCTAGAGCTGACAAACTTCCCTGTAGGTTGGGTCTCCGGAGCTAGCATATCGCTTGGCTTTGAAGTGGCAAATCCTGGTGGGGGCCTTGCCTTTGCTCGCAGGTGAGGCATAACATCCCCAAGCATTAAGAAAGGAATATCAGGGGGTGCATTCACTGGACGGACCAGCAAATCAATGCCAAAATAACCTGCCTCAAACCAGCCAATAATGTCGGCACCAGAAAAAGGGCCTTGAATTTGACCTTGTGGATCTTTGTAGTATAGAGAGAGGCTTTCTGGATTAGGATGAGGCTGCACTGGACTGGCAAAGTTATCAAAACCCATCATGCCAACAGTTTTAGTTTCTTGATTTAAGAAACTAGGTATTTGATGCCCAAATTCAGATGGCCCAAGCTTATGTTCTCCAATAAACTGAGACCTTTGTGGAACAACATAAGTAGATGTCCCAGGACGCATTAACTCCCCTCTTGCTGTCGAATCAGTATTTCCAGCAACACCTGTTAAAGATAAATATAAACAGCTTTTAAGGGGGTAAGAACAATTGCAAGCTTCAAACTACATCAACACTATGCTACAGGAAATAGAACAAATGAGTTATTCAGTAATGTTATTTTCCTCATCAATTATACTTTTTGTTTTTCTTTTATATGTAAGGGCCTTGTGTGAATCAACAGCATAAAGCCAATTATGAGATTAATAATATTCGAAACATAAATGCTCAAAACATGAATAGTAGTTCTCAAATATGCATGGCCACTCTACGTGATCTCTTAAGCTTGTTCAGACATGTGAGATGATGTAAACATGTGTAAAAAGAACCAGGCAAGGCACCTGAGATTTCCACACCTCCTGGCTGCTCTTCTCTACCAGCTGGAGAAAGTTAAAAACAGCATTCAGTGAGAAACTATGCAGTAAGTAGTATATAAACATGCCAGCGTATCAAAAATAAATAGATAAACCATTTCTCAGTAAAATTTTGGCTGCTTTGATGCCATGATTACCTTTTCCAACAGAACCATCTTTAGAAGCCTGATGGACACCACTGTTTACGATATCCCCTTTGTCAATTGCTTTTAGAATGGCCTACAAATTTAATTCAACAGTGAGATAAGAATGTTTTGATACAACAAAAATAAGAAACTACTGAGGAAATAATAGCGTAATTACCGCTTCTTCAGCAACTGGAGCAGATAGTGCTAAAGGTTCCAAAGCATCTTCTTGCATGAACACAGAGAGTTCCTCCAAACAATCAACAGATAACTTAAAATCAGTGACATCACAACTTCTGTATATGTCAAGCAACTTCATCCTACTATATCTGAATGCCGAACGATCTGATACACCACCAGGTCTGTCAGAAAGTAGACCAAGATGGAATGGTCGTGAAGATCCACTACTGATTGCACTTGTACCAGATGTGAACTTTCCACGATTGTTTGGAAAATTTGCAAAATCATTGTCCGGCTTCCCCCTACCATATCCATAAGTAGCAGATGATTTCTGCGAAGTCTGAGAAGGATAGTGAGGCAAATCTCCACGCCCACGGCCCGCAGAATAACTAGATTTCCATGAACGAGAAACATTGTCATCCTTTTCAGTATCCTTTTCGTAACTGTTGGCATCCTTTCCATAGTGAGAGAAACCTTTTCCACGGGAAGCATCACCCTCTTTACCTAAATCCCCCCACTTATCATTGGTACCCCAACGTGCAGCCCACTTATTCTCACGGCGCTGGTCATAACTCCCTTCCTTATTATTGGAACCACCCCAGCGCTCCTGCGGAACACGATGACCATCCACAGAATGCTTGGAGGTGTCATCTGACCATCTTTCCACTTTGCGTGCATCACCATGTTCCTTATCTGTCTCCCTCCGGCGACTCCACCGATGGGTCGAATTTGGTTCCCTTTCATCATCGCGCCAGCGGTCACGACGCTCAGTTTCACCATCAAGCACAGGAGCCCTGAAAACATCCTTTTTCTTCGTGTTGTAGCCTGGGTCTTCACCAGTCCCTGATGTCTTTGAAACATCTGAGCGGATACCCTGTGAAACAGGATCCTGCAACAAACAAGCAATCATATAAATCACTGTATGATATTAATATACACCTAACAAGTACCCTATTACTGCAATCGTCGTGTATTAGTAATAGTATGATTTTCTCCTTGAGGACTAACCTTGTTTTCTCCCACCTTCATAAGCCACTGAGGAGAAAGGGGTATTTCAGTATCAAGGCCTTGCTTCTCTGCACCAACCAAAAGCTACTTCAATATGACAGGAGAGAAGTACCATAGTATCAAAATAGCATTAACAATGAGGAAGATTACGCTATAAACAACTTATTATTATTACTGATGCAACCTTCATCTATTCTAAGTTGATAACCGATGCTTTATCGATTCATCAGACAAGAGAAAGATGTAGTAAATCTTCACATATAACTGATATGCATATATTTGGACAGAGGAGATTTGCAGTGTGTTCTATAGTTCAAGCAGATTCTTCTTTTACAATGAGAATGGTATAAATAAATTGTAAAGGTAGTTTAAAAAATCCAAGCGCAATCTAGTACCTTCTGTACACACATCAAATGAATAAGCATTAACTAAAACTGCCGTAGACGTAGTACCACAACATAAAGCTACAGAGAACACGGCATGTTCTAAGAAACAGGGCTGAGACATTGGTTTTCAGCTACATTATGCATCCTAAGAATATTAACGGGTGCATCAACATCACCACACCGATCTGCATGTAGTGAGCAATACACACATAACAACAAATCTACACAAAACATAGACATCAAACATAATAAGAGGGATCTCTACCAGCATCAACAACAAAAATCAGAACTATTACTGACTGAAACGAATCCAATCAGTCAAATCAGCGCCCCAAAATCGATACAGAAGGCAACCTGACCATTGCATCCAGTCCACCCAAATCGAAGCGAACTCCCTTCACTATCCTAGCACCACCCCCTTGACGCATCTAAACACCTGGCGCCACCAAGCATCAATGGCCCAGCCACGAACCCAGCACCTGCAACAACAGCACCAAAACCCACGGGGGCGGCGCCATCCAACACCCGCCGAAAACCCCCGCAAACCCCAAACCTACGGCGCGGATCGAAGGGCTGAACGAGAACCGAATCGAGACCAACCCGAGAAGCGGGCCTGAGCTAGGGTTTCGTGTGGATCGAGAAGGGGGCGGAGCGGTTACCTCTGGCGATCTGGGGCGGTGGAGGAGTGTCGACGGCGAGGCGGCGACGGAGGTCGGCATTGGCGCGGTCCGGAGTGGCGGCCATGGGCGGCGGCGGCGGCGGCGGCGAAAACCCTAGAGCTGCTGGTTGGGAAGGTTTGGGAGCGGAGAAGCGGAAGCGAGCAGAGGAATGGGGCTATTCCTTCCACTAGGATAAAAAACCGGGCGCAGACCACACGCCACACGATTCCCCAAGGACTCTTTTGCGTCCAGGCCCCTTGGTATTCCGTAAATAATTTAAGTATTTATCTTTTGTCTTCCTTTTGATATTCTTTTTTTTTCTTTTGTGTATAAAAAAATGTCAAATATTTTTATTTATTAATGTTTTACAAATAGGTATTAAACATTATTTTTATTTATGAGTGCATGTAAGTAATGTATGTATGTTTTGAAGTTGACAGTGGAATTATTACCATGTATTGATGTTTTTTTGAAACATAAGATACATATACATATGATGTGGCGGATGTTTCGAGTTGGACTCGACAACATTCTTGAATATGGGCCTTCAAAAAATAGAAAGAGCCCATATTTAGTGATTTTATAAGAATCGCTAAAAGGGACCTTTACCATATAAGCCAATTAAGTGGGTTCGGTGACTATCCTTAGCCTGCGTGTGTGCTAACTAAAGACCCGTGTAAAAAGGCTACGAAAAGCCCAATGTTTTGCGCATAGGGCTTGTTTGCTTCAGACTCTAACCTAGACAATGCTGGTAGGCAGCTCGATCCAGCCCAATGTCTCGGAACACTACTTGGGCCAGGCTCATTTTATAATCCACGAAGCAAACAAAGCCCATAAAAGCGAAGCCCATCCACTTTTGGCAACGTACCAACAATCGCTAAAGTTAATCTAAAAGCAATCATTAAAGTTGAGCCAATAGGTCTACCTTTAGCCTATAACTTTTACACCCACTTGTCTAGTAGACTAGATACTCAGGATGGCGGGGCAAGATTGAATTTTAGTTTTGACCCACATGTGCTTGTTAGACCCCAACTAAACAATATAGACTCTCTAGTCCAACTTGCAATCTTCTACACATTACTAGTAGTCAACTTTATTGTGTTGGCGAGTTAACTCACAACTTGACGATAACATGCCTTACGGGTCATGGGTATCAACATGGAGGATGAACCCGATCAACAAGCCATAGGATGGTCCGAACCAATGACTTTGAGTCTGATGTCTACCCGAGGAATAACCAACTAACCTCACTACACCACACAATCACTACCGGAAACAGTGGTTTTGTCGTGTGCCACAGGCACTCGGCAAAGCCCACAAAACACTCGGCAAAGAATTTACCGAGTATAATACTCGGCAAACAGTACACGACATCTATAGTGCCGGCAAACGTCTCTTTGCCGAGTGTTTTCTATCGGGCACTCTGCAAATATTTTGCCAAGAGTTGAAACCGACGCTTGGCGAAAAAAAGTAACGCGATGGCGCGGAGACGGTCACGGCGTGTTTGCCGAGTGTCCCGGACCTGACACTCGGCAAACCTTCCTTCTTTGCCGAGTGTCAAATCCCAGGCACTTGGCAAACCTGCCTTGTTTGCCGAGTGTCAAATACTGGACACTCGGCAAAGATTGGCCCAGAACGTACAAATGTTGGCTTCTTTACCGAGTGTCACAGCGCAGATAATCGACAAAGAAGTTATTTTAGTCCTAAAATGCACAGAAATTTGCCACATGTCCGCTTTGTCGAGTGTTTTTACCCTAGCACTCAGCAAAAGGCCGTTTACCGAGTGTAACACTCAGTAAAGCGACCATATATTCCCTGTTTTTATTGTTCGGTCACGTATAATGTACCCCACTCAAATAAACATTACAAGCATCATACATAGTTCACAATAAGCATCACAGGCAGTTCATATAGATATATCGACAACACATAAATGCAAATAAACTTCAGAATCACTAGTAGGTTCATTCACAACCACAAATGGTCACAAGTAGTCACAGGTAATCCATAAATGCAAATGTAAATAAAATCACAAGTAGTCACTTAGGCCACGGGTTCCACTGCGACCACGCTGGGTCATGAGGCTCATTTGATGCCGCCAATTGATTCTGCACAAAGGAGAAGAGATTGCATGTGTGAGACAAGATTGAACAACATGTATGGTCTCTCTGCTGCCTAACTAGTATAACCCTTGCAACTATCAGCACTATCTTCTCAGTTGCATTGTGCTCTAGTATGATTGCTTAAGTACTAGTTGGTAACAAACATATAACATTAGTCACTAAGTTTCTAGTGTTTGGGCATCTTTGTAAGATTGATTCTGCAAAAAATAGAAACGATGATTATAAGGTTGTAAAGTGACTCACAGTGCCTGAAACAGTATTTGGAGCAGGTTGAGGAGGAGGGACTGGCATCGGTGGAGGAGGTTGACCGATTGCAGCGTAAACACCCCTCATATATTCAAACATCTGTAGCCGCTCTGCCTCCATCCTCTGCCGCTCTACCTCCGCCTTCTGTCGCTCTGCCTCCATCTTCGCCTCTAGCTCCTCTTGGCGCCTCGTTTCTTGTTCTAGATGAGCCTACAATATTTCTTCCCAATGTTACAATGTAATGCAAAAGTATGTAAAAATCAATGAATGATGAATAAAATAGAAATAACCTAGAGTGCGTTTATCTGGAACCGTGTAGAGTCCGGGCGTGGGCATGTCGCTGGGCTAGAACTCGTGCTCCGTGCTCGAATCTAGGAGAGAGTGGGAGTACTGCCGTGTCGATTGTGCCATCGCTAATCTAGAATCGGACATGCTTCTTGCCTCCTCCCACCCTCATGACCACTTCTCCATCAAGGTCATGGGCGCTCAGATCATACTCTGGGCCATGGACCGCCCTTGCCATTTATGTGTATCCATCGAGGCGGCTGTGGATGGACTCGTTGCTGTACGCCGAGGGCGGGTCCTCCGGGTTGTAGGCGACGTCGGCCGTCGCCTTGCCCTTGTGGGCCAAAGCATATGCCATGAACTAGGAGCATGGCTCGCCACCATGTACCGCCGACTGCAAAAAAAAGCACTATGATTAGAAATTATGCAGAGTTGAGCGTTAGAATAAAGAAATGAATTCGCGTACCCATCTAGCCGCGTATTCTGAGAGGTTGAGGTTGCCTTGATGGTGTGGTGCACCCGACATCAGCAAACGTTGCTCCCGGCAAGCGTTGTGATTCTCCACCCACGTAGGGTCGCACCACCTATCCACCATCCGGGCCCAGCACTGCAGATCGTAGGCGCACCACCACGGAGGCACCTACGTCATCAAGTATATGACATATAAGAAGATGAAATTAAGTGTAATTAATCTCAAAAAAAAGTATTAACGTTCTATATTTACCTTCAGGTATTGTTCCAAGGTCAGCCTCATGGTTCTTACCGCACTTTTAGGGAGCCTCACTCTAAGAATTTCCGTGTGGTATTGGATCATGGCCTGGATGTGCGCCTCGTAGTGCATGTCCTTGATGAGTTTCTTGGTGGCTTTGTCAGCCACAACATCCGCCTTGGCCTCGCATCCCTCCTCGCATCTAAAGAAATCATGCATATAGACGCGATATATCCAGTCATTATTTCAAGAATGTCCAATCAATGTGATGTATTGAGCAATGTAATGCAAGAAAGACTTACCCAAAGCTCGGCCTTTGACACGTTGCGCCTTGTCGGCGAATATCCTGCCATCTCGATCAGGGGCATCGGGGACGACGGCATAGTGGGCCCACGTGTAGGCCAGCTCGATAGTTCCGGCGAACTGCACCAGGCCAGGGAACTTTTCCTTGATCAAAAGACCAAGGATGTCGTTCACATGGCGTGCGTGATCACCCCCACCGACCTTTCTCCAACCCCTACCAAAATGATTAAGATAAATTATTAGTTTCTATTGTAATTTTGAACATATCAAACAAAAAATTAGTGATAACATCTAAAGTTACTTACTTGTCTCCATCGGGTTGAATCAGCGGGCGTCTCTCAAGAGGTATCAGTCGCCTCGAGAGGGTCGAGGGACCTCGCAACCACACACGCGACGAAGTAGAGGAAGAGGTACCCCCTGTCTCCTCCTCCACCCCTACCTCCTCCACCTGTACCTCCTTCTTAGAGGATGAGTGAGCGGAAGGTAACTCAGACGACGATGAAGGTACAGGTGACGGTGGCCTCATCTTGCCTCCACCCTTCCCTCGACCTCTGGGTCTACCCTGAGGTCTCTTCCCTGACCCCTCAGCTGCATCGGACCCTTTACGCGTCGCTGTCACTTTTGAGTAAAGTGATGTTATCCTCTTCATACCGCCCACCATTGTTCAATCGCCTGCAATTAAAAAGAGTAAACCAATTAGCACAAATAATACATCAAAATAGATGCAAAATAAACAAAACATACTTAGAAAATAATATAGTATGATAAATAATAAATCAATTAGCATGGATCATACATGTATTAGAAATAATCATTGTGATCAGGATTAGCTAGATCATAAGTCTCATCATCACTATCACGCATGTTGATATAATCATCCCTATGCTTCGAAGCAGGAATGTCGTCATCACCGTCATTGCTTAGATGTAATCGCTGAAGTAATTCTAAGTCCTTCACATTCTGAACCTCGTCTCCAGCGTCCTCGTCGGCACCACTTTCATTGTCTACTTCCATACCCTGAGCTTCGGTTAAGTCTATCTCAAAACTCCCTTCGAACCCATCTTCTTGAAAGAACTCTCCATCATATGTGTTGGGGTCTATGTTGTAATCTTGATTGTTTGGGACAGATAGTTTATCGTGTGGCAATACCTTGTACACAACATCCCAACCCTTAAGACGGTCTATAGTTTGGCACGGGTATGAGAGATAATAAACTTGAGTGGTCTGTTGAGCCACAATATAGACATCGTCTCTTGGTAAGACGGATGATTATTGAATTTCGACTAGCCCAAGATTAGGGGTCCGCCTCACTACTTCAGGATCAAACCAATGGCATTTGAATATAATGGGATTAAGAGGTTTGCAACCATGAAACATGAGTTCGTATATTTCTTCAATTCTTCTGTAATATTCAACCCC